GGGGTGAGGGCGGGGCGGGCGGGAGTGAGGGAGGGTCTGTGAGGGGACGGAGACTATTCCTGGGGAGACAGAGCGTCCGTGAGGTGATATAGGCCATTTGTGGGGGCACAGAGTGTCCGTGAGGTGGCATAGGCCATTTATGGGGGCACAGAGTGTCCGTGAGGTGACATGGGCTATTCCTGGGGAGACAGAGCGTCCGTGGGGTGACATGGGCCATTTATGGGGGCACAGAGTGTCCGTGGGGTAACACAGGCCATGCCTGGGGACACACAGAGTGTCCGTGATGTGACATGGGTCATCCCTGAGGACACACGGAGTGTCCGTGAGGTGATACAGGCCATCCGTGGGGACACACAGAGTGTTTATGGGGTGACACAGACCATCCCTGGGGACACATGGAGCATCCGTGGAGTGACACAGGCCATCCCTGGGGACATACAGTGTCCGTGGGTGACACAGGCCATCCCTGGGGACACACAGAGTGTCCGTGGGTGACACAGGCTAGCCCTGGGGACACAGAGTGTCCGTGGGTGACACAGGCCATCCATGGGGACACAGAGTGTCCATGAGGTGACATGGGCCATCTGTGGGGACACAGAGTGTCCGTGGGGTGACACGGGCCATCTCTGGGTATACATAGAGTGTCCATAAGGTGACATAGGCCATCCCTGGGGACACACCGTATGTCCATGGATGACACAGGCCAGCCCTGGGGACACACAGAGTGTTTATGGGGTGACATGGGCCATCCCTGGGGATACATGGAGCATCCGTGGGGTGACACGGGCCATCCGTGGGGACATACAGTGTCTGTGGGGTGACACAGGCCAGCCCTGGGGACACAGAGTGTCCGTGAGGTGACACGGGCCATCCCTGGGGACATATAGTGTCCGTGGGGTGACACAGGCCATCCATGGGGACACATAGAGTGTCTGTGAGTTGACACAGGCCATCCCTGGGGACATACAGTGTTTGTGGGGTGACACAGGCCATCCCTGGGGACACATAGAGTGTCCATGAGGTGACATAGGCCATCCCTGGGGACACACCGTATGTCCATGGATGACACAGGCCATCCCTGGGGACACAGAGTGTCTGTGGGTGACACAGGCCAGCCCTGGGGACACATAGAGTGTCCATGAGGTGACACAGGCCATCCTTGGGGACACAGAGTGTCCGTGAGGTGATACAGGCCATCCGTGGGGACATATAGAGTGTTTATGGGGTGACATGGGCCAGCCCTGGGGACACATGGAGTGTCCGTGAGGTGACACAGACCATCCCTGGGGACACACGGAGTGTCCGTGAGGTGACACAGACCATCCCTGGGGACACAGGGAGCGTCCATGGGGTGCCACAGGCCATCCGTGGGGACACATAGAGTGACACAGGCCATCCCTGGGGACACATGGAGCATCCGTGGAGTGACACAGGCCATCCCTGGTGAGTGTCCAGAGTGTCCATGGGGTGACACAGGTCATACGTGGGGACACACAGAGTGTCCATGGATGACACAGGCCAGCCCGGGGACATATAGAGTGTTTTTGGGGTGACACAGGCCATCCCTGGGGACACAGAGTGTCCATGAGGTGACATGGACCATCCGTGGGGACACACTGAGTGTCCATGGGTGACACAGGCCATCCCTGGGGACAGAGAGTCTCCGTAGGTTGACACAGGCCATCCCTGAGGACACACCAAGTGTCCATGGGGTGACATCCTTGGGGCCATCCTTGGGGACACACGGAGTGTCTGAGTTGACACAGGCCATCCCTGGGGACACACGAGTGTCTGTGGGGTGACACGGGCCATCACTGGGGACACATAGAGTGTCCATGAGGTGACACAGGCCAGCCCTGGGGACACACGGAGTGTCCGTGAGGTGACATGGGCCATCCATGGGGACACATAGAGTGTCCGTGAGGTGACATGGGCCATCCCTGGGGACACACGGTATGTCCAGGAGGTGACACAGGTCATATGTGGGGACACACAGCGTGTCCATGGATGACACAGGCCAGCCCTGGGGACACACGGAGTGTCCGTGAGGTGACATGGGCCATCCATGGGGACACATAGAGTGTCCATGGATGACACAGGCCAGCCCTGGGGACACACGCAGCATCCATGGGTGACAAAGGCCATCCCAGGGTATACATAGAGTGTCCCTAGGGTGACACAGGCCATCCCTGGGGACACATGGAGCATCCATGGAGTGATACAGGCCATTTCTGGGGACATACAGTGTCTGTGGGGTGACACAGGCCATCCATGGGGACACAGAGTGTCCATGGGTGACACAAGCCAACCCTGGGGACACACGGAGTGTCTGTGGGTGACACGGGCCATCCCTGGGGACACATAGAGTGTTTATGAAGTGACACAGGCCATCCCTGGGGACACATAGAGTGTCTGTGGGTGACACGGGTTATTCCTGGGGCATACAGTAACCGTGGGGTGACACAGGCCATCTCTGGGGATACATAGAATGTCCATAAGGTGACACGGGCCATCCCTGGGGACACACGGAGCGTCCGTGGGTGACAAAAGCCATCCCAGGGTATACATAGAGTGTCCATAAGGTGACACAGGCCATCCCTGGGGACACACAGAGTGTCTGTGGGGTGGCGCAGACCATTCATGGGGACACTTACAGTGTCTGTGGGGTGACATGGGCCATACTTGGGGACACAGAGTGTCCATGAGGTGACACAGGTCATCCCTGGGGACACATGGAGTGTCTGTGGGGTGTCACAGGTCATCACCAGGGACACATAGTGTGTCCATTAACTGACACAGGCCATCCCTGGGGTGACACAGGCCATACGTGGGGACACACAGAGCATCCGTAGGGTAACAGAGCTTCCATACGGACCTACAGACTTTCCATAGGGACCCACAGGGCAGCCATAGGCACTGACAGACCATGGGGACACACAGACACTCCATGGGCACACAGACTGTCGGTGGGAACCCCGCAGACCATCCATAGGTGAGCAGGGTCTGCTGTAGGGACCCCGAAACTGCCCGTAGAGACCCACAGACCATCCATAGGGATCCACGGATTGTCCATAAGGACTGATAGACACTCCACAGATGAGCAGGGTTCACTATAGCGACCCAGAGATTGTCCATAGGGACACTCAGACCATCCATAGAGATCCACGGATTGTCCATAAGGACTGATAGACACTCCACGGATGAGCAGGGTTCACTATAGGAACCCAGAGATTGTCCATAGGGGTCACATAGACCATCCATAGGGACTGACATGTTGTGCATATGGACAAACAGATCCTCCACAGGGACATTCAGATTGCTGTAGGGACCTACAGGCAGTCTGTAGTGAGCCAGAGACTGCTGTAGGGACTCAAAGACCATCCATAGGGTCAGCCCAAGCTTGTGCCAGCAGGAATGTGAGGATGGGGAGTGTGAGGTCACTTYTGACTGCCCCAGGGCCTGAGACACCTCCAGCACAGCGGGAATGCTGGCTCAGCCCCAGGCCAGGATCTGCTGTCCCTCAGAGCTCTGTCCTGGAACCCAGCTATCACCAGGAATCACAGCCAGAGAAGAGCTCAAACTCCATAGGGAGCAGTGGGACACAGGGACTTCTTCTCCTCCCAAGGAGGATGAGCCCTGCCAGAAGTCAGTGGCAACTTGCAGAACACAGCATAGTCCAGTTAATGGCCTTGAACAGGCAGTGTTCTCTTCACGGGAACTTGTATTTGGGTCTTGAGAAGTCCTTTTGTTATTAGTGTACCCTGGAATTTGTTGTATCTGCAGAAAAGGTACTGCATGTGGGTCCAGGGGAAACCTTCCCTAGCACCCCTATATTGAGATTAATTCTGTTCTTTTAGTAAATGTGCAAGCCAGGTTTCAGTCTCACTGGGGACCTCTACATCCAGAAAAGCCTAACAGCAATTACTGTGCTCAGTCAGTGGAAAAATCCCAGAAAAGAAACCATGCGAGTTATTGCAGAGCAGACACACTTCCAGGGCAAACAGCCCTGYGTGGCCTGCAGCTCATGGCTGATGATAAGCACTTCTTACACCATCCTCTTTTGGGGTGTTTTCTTCCCACTACTGTGTTGGTATTGAACAAGGACTGAAATGAAGGGCTAAGCAAGGATATGGTCTTGTAGTGTGTTTCCTTCCGGAAGAGACCTGGATGCTTTGAATGGGTCCCAAATCCATTCCCAACAGAAACTGAACATGACCCTTTTTAAAAAAAAAAAACAAAACAAAAACACATATCCAGAACACGAGTCAAAACTTTTTTTTTTTTTTAATATATATTTATAGAAATAAGACTACAGAAGGCTCCTTCAGAAGAGTATTTGTATCCTCGGTCTTTCAGAAATAAAATAGGATAGCAGATTCCTTGGCATGTGCACTTTGCAYGGCTCACTGTAAGGCACCAGGGCAGATGTTAGAGCTCTAACATAAGAGTGGAAGAATGTTGTCTTCTTCCCTACACAAATAAATCCATTAAAAGCCCCAGGGACTGACRGGCTGAGGCACATGCAGAAGCCATGCAGATTCAACTTGAAAAACATTCTAAAAACAGCAAATCCTGTTGCTCCAGGTTAGTGACCTGGCAGCAGGCTTAGACAAGTAAATTGTGTGTTTATCCCCATGTCTTGTGTCCCTGTGTCCAGTGTCATAAGGCAGTGAGGAGCAGTGAAGCAGCACTGCACACAGGGACATCAGAGAGACCAGCAGCCCCGAAGCACACAAGCTTCTGAATCAAAGCCATAATCATACCTATACATATGGTAACAAGAAGGGCAGRAACTTTCAGGAGATCTGGTCAGAAAGCAAGTTTCATGTCTCCAGCAGTAGRTAATTTTTTTTCCAGTGGTGCATAGTCAGAACAAGTCCAAAGTTTAGAGAATCACAGAAGTTAATTAAATCATAGAATCAGAGATTCCCAGGATGGTTTGGGTTGGGAAGGACCTTAAAGACCACCTAGTTCCAACTGCCTGCTCTGGGCCAGAACACCTTCCACTAGCCCAGTTGCTCCAAGCCCCTTCCAACCTGGTCTCCAGAGCTTATGAGGGACCACCTGATGAACTTAAAAGCTCACAAGACCCTTATCAGAGAAGTGGTTGGAAGAGTTGTACCAATTCCTTCAGATCCTTCCTGAGACCTCCCAGCAGGCTGGATGTGGCACAGCMCCTCACTGGGTAGATGAAAATCAGTTTCCAGTGTCAGCTTGGAGCACACCTGCAGCTAAGCCAGACACATGGTGTAACTGTTGGTGTCCCTCTRAGTAAGATTCCCAAGAGATACGAGTAAAATTTAACCTAAGTGACAAGTTTAATCCCCACTAATAGAAGACTTAAGGAACAGACAGAAKTGTAACCTGAGATCTGAGAGGGATGCATGTGCCCTGAACACAAGCCAGCATGCCCAAARCACCAAGCAGCACGCCCCTCAGCACATACAGCTTCTTAGTTATCTAGAAAGTGGAAGGCTCCACTCTCTCTAGGTGCCTGCACTTTAGAAGAACTTCAAAAACTTCTTCCAACACAGATTTGCCCGTGTCTGATCCTCGTCTTCCTCTGAGTTTGAAGATCCATCCAAGAAGTTTGCTGATCAAAGGCACAGATTTTTAGTAAGCGCTTTCTGAATGTACAACTAATTATTGGAGTCCTCAAATGTTCTCTTGAAAAGCAGAAGCACTTCAGCTCTGTGTGTCTGGGAATGACTGAAAACACCATCTCTCCCACACTGGTCAGGCCAACAGTGTCTTCTGCCTTCTGGAAAACCTAYAGAACAGGATCAACAATGTCTAAACCACAGCTCCAGCTCAGACAAGTGATGGGAGGACTGACACAAGCATCCCTTCCAGTCAGTCACTCAAAATGCCATCCCTTAACCAGTGGCCTTTCCTTCTCCACTGCCCCTCCTCTGTGTAGCCTCATCTCATATTAAATCCTTTCTCACRGAATCCCAAAATAGTTTGGGTTGGAACAAACCATCAASAACATCCAATTCCAACYCCCTGCCATGGGCAGGGACACCTTCCACTCTCCCAGGGTGCTCCAAGCCCCGTCCAGCCTGGCCTGGAACACTGCCAGGGATCCAGGGGCAGCCACAACGTCAGCGGAAGGGAAGATTTTTTTTTCCTTACAGATAGTTTAAATCTACCCTCTTTTAGTATAAAACCATTCTCCCTTGTCATATTACTTCTGCCCAGGGAAAAAAAAATTCCTCCCCCTCTTTCTTTTAAGCCCTGTTTCTTCATCAAAATTGGGTACTTACTGTGACTCTTAGAAATGTACCAAGCTATAGCCATCGACTGTGGCATAATCAGGCTCCCCTGAAACACARAGCACAAAAACCTCCATAAGGTTTCCCATGAGAAGTGCTCATTRCATGACTTTAAACAGAACAGAAACACTATAATCTGGCCATCCATGTTAAAGGGWTGGGATGCAAGAGTGAATGAGGCTTAAGTCAGGCTGAGAGAGCTGAGGGTATTCGCTTGGAGAAGAGAAGGCTCCAAAGAGACCTTAGAGCTCCTTCYGGCTCCTAAAGGGGGTCCAGGAGARTTGGGAAGGGACTTTTGGCAAGGCTGAAGAGATGTTTTCTCTGTGGGGCCAGAAAGCCCACAAAGCAGTAACTCACCTGGTGCGCTGGTCGGGGTGGGCAGGGGTCCCCTCCTGCACAGAAACAAGCACAGAGCTGAGGATCTGTGTGGCTACAGAACTACTTTTGCCCTGGTTCTGCACCCCCCAGCTGACCCCCAAAGCTGGTGGGAGGCCAAGAGCTTTGGCCAGCATGGGCTTTATGGAGTCCTAACAAGGCAAGTCATGGTAGGCTGACCATCTACAGCCACTTGGCAAACACAGGAATTGAACCTGACACGGTGGGGGAGAGTTAAAAATAACCAGGAAGCACCAACTCAGGAAAAAATTCACAAGAGAGCCTCAGGGCATATCTTTGTACATGCCTTTCCCCAGAGTGAGACATCAGGAAGCCATAATTAGACATGACTGCTCTCCCAGTGTGGCAGCCAAAGTGGCAACTCATCCTTAGCACAAGCCTTGGCCCCAGTCACCATCCTGCCCCCAGCAGAAAAACCCTTCACCATGGTGTCCCTTATGTCCCACAGGAATGAATCCAGCTCTACAGTTCCTCCCTCCACCCACAAATGCTTTCAACTCTCCTCAGACAGATCACATCAAGAGCCATGCAAGCAAACATTTTCCTCTAATACCTTCAAGTCAAGCTTCCAATGGAATGAAAGGAACAAAATACTTTTGTTTTGGAGGGGTAAGCAGCATTTGCAACAGCAATTGCAGTCGTACGTGTTACATCCCTTACCTGGATATAGGCACAGGAGCTGGACTTCTCGCAGGAGTCACATTTCTCTGGGTATTATAGTAGTTTTCATAAACAATAGGAGCTAGGAAAAGTTGGCAGTAATAAAGTACAGGCCTCTTATAAACATAAAATATTTGTTATACCAACATTCAAGCTAAGCTAGCTGCTAAGTCTTTCCCCTCTCTGGGAAAAGGCCTGATCAGGAAACTGAAAAAGGCGACTATTATCTTCAGGGGCTATCAAAAGTGGCAGAGATTAGAGCTACATGGCAATAAAGGAAAGGAGGGATGTTGCAAAATGAGTGTTTTCTGCACACAAAATTATGCTCATCAGAGCAACCAGCTCCATGAGGAGTACAAAGTAGTCTGCACCATCTTGTGAGATTCTTCTAAGCTCTTACCTGGAGCCAAACTTCCAGTTTTCCGTAAATTTACGAAAAAATCAACATCYTTCTCAATGCTGCACATTTCTAAACTCTTGCGGATTTCCTCATATTTCTGCAAAAGGGAAATAAAATGCATTTCTATAYATCAGGTCAAAAAATGAGGTTTTTTTCTCAATTGCTTGCCACACATAGGGTGAAAGTTCAATCACCCAAGACACAAGCTTCAGTGTCATGGGAATCACAGAACCCCAGAATGGATTGGGTTGGAAAGCAACTTTATAGCCCATCCCATTCCACCCCCTGCCATGGGCAGAGASCATCCACTATCCCAGSTTGCTCCAAGACCTGTTGGATACTTGCAGGGATAGGACAGCCACAGCTCCTCTGGGAAACCTATGCCAGGGTTTCACCACCCTCAAAAAATGTAGGAATACCAGAGGAAACATCATTTGCAAGAATTTTGGTCAACCCTTCTCCTCTTGACCACTTGCTGGTATCTGTGGTCAATCATGGGCTATAGCCCTACTTGGACATAATACAGCTTAGTCCCCAGGAAAACAAAGAAGGGTTTGCTTTCCACTCAGAAGAATGAAGCTTTTTCATTTGAGGTACCTCATCATTCTGGACACAGCCCAGGGAGAGCAGGTTGACATGGAGCCAGAGGGCATTACGGAAATAGTTGATCCGCTCACACTCCTGAGTCTCAAAGAACTGAAACGACATAGACAAAACTGTCCATAACACCTTTAAAAGAAGGGAAAATCTCTTTTGTCCTGATTGCTTCTCACCCCCACATGTCACAACAAAGATAACTGCCAGATGCAATTGGTGTTGGTCTTCTGCAGAAACAAGGAACTCACAAATCCTCCAGAGTAAAAATGATCCCTCTATGCAATCAGGCAATTCAAAGGTGAGTGCTAAGGCTGGAAAGTCCGCAAGACTGATGTGGAGAGGGCCACCCAGCACACTGCTACCTTTGGGGAGCCAAGCCAGCTTCCTAAAGGCAGTACAGGTGTCCCAGTACACCCTTCTCCTGTGATCCCAGCCCACTTGCCTTACACAGGTATCCTTGAATCACAGAATCATTTAGGTTGGARAAGCCCTCTAAGGTCATCRAGTCCCCCCACTACCCCTGCACTGCTAAGGCCACCACTAACACATGTCCCCAAGTGCCACATGTACATGTTTTTTTTTAACATTTCCACGTTCCAGGTATGGAGCAATAAAAAAAACACTGGGGATGTACGAAGACAGAAATGCATTGACTATTTGGTCTTCTCCCTCTTTCCTGCCCAGCCCTTTTCCAAGCCCTTTTGAAATCTGCCTGGTACAGCTCAATTTCACATGCTTTTGTACGTTTTGTACATTGAACATATACGCTTGTTACCACTTATGACCTTTGCAACACATGGAGAGGAAAATCTCCATGTGATCCATCTGCAAAAGTGAAACTGCTTTCCACTCCCCACCACAGAATCGTTAGGGTTGGAAAAGCCGTTTAAAACTTTGAGTCCAACCACTAACCCAGCACTGCCAAGCCACCACTAAATTGTGTCACCACCCTTGAGGTTTCCACAGAAGACACAGAGAACACACCAGCACCGAGACACCCACGTAAAACAGACAGCAAATTCCAGTTCAAAAGGGAAAAGTGACATAGCAGCCTGATGCTGGGAAGGGGAAAGCTGTTTGCAAGCCTGAAGCAGATCTGAGATAAAATCTCAATCTTTGCAGTCCCTTCCATTCCTCAGTCACAGATCACAGGCCAGCAGCAGAGCAGCTGCTCAGCCCTCTAGCTACCAGCTCTGGAATTCCCCAGCATGTGCAAGAAATCCCCACTGGACCATCTCCCTGTAAGGAAGCCTAGCCTGGGGTTCCCACGCTAGTGCACAGTCCGTGAGACACAAGGTGAAGAGCTCCTGGCACAGTGTGCATGTGGAGATGGCTTCACCTGCATCCCCAGCCACCACCAGGCTCTGCTGAAATGTCACGTAAAGCCTTCCAGAGTTTCAGACACTCTTCCTAGTATTGAGCTCTAGGACATACTGGCCTGGAGTCACTGAGTATCCAGAGCYGACCACCACTGTTCAAGATGACAGCCACGCCAAACATGCAAGCAGGTAATGGGCAAAAATGTCACTACCTTGACTCCATCAATTTTAAAAGGTGGTGGAAAAATAAAAATAATTTTAAAATAGTGGAAACCTTGAAGCAGTGGGGCTTTGAATCCAGCTTGACACACACACACAGGCTTTGCTGCAATACACCCTGCTACTTCACTGCCAGGAGAATTTACAGAAAGCAAACCTGCACTGTCCCTGAGCCCTGCTGCCAGGGCTGGAGACCCAGAGGACCACGCTGCCATGTGGAGGGGGTTAGAGGCATTTACCTCACAAGCTTTGATGTGCTCGTTCTGCCACTCTTCCCGGATCTTCTCCAGTGTGGTCACACTCTGCTGGTAATTCCTGTCTGCAGGATAAATCACATTTCAGCTGAAGGTGTCTCTGCCCATGGCAGTARGGTTGGAATGAKATGATCTTTAMGGTTCCCTCAAACCTTAATCATTTTATGATTTTGATTTACTGATTAACATCCATTAAAAACATCCCTTCATTAGAAGGTAATATGTAAAGCTTGAAAAGGCTGGGAGATCAGGCATAAAACAGGACATGGCCTTGCCTTAGTGGGGCCWTGCAGGCTTCTTCAGGGGAGTTACCCTGGGGAAAGTGCTGCTGGTACCTTGGGCATGAGTTTCTGAGGAGCCACATCCAACCCAAGAGCTGGAGATCACCCACAAGTCACACCATGGATTCATAACCCCTGCCCTCACTCCCCTTGCCTTCCTGATGTAGCACTCACCAGTGTCCTCCAGAGCTGATTTTGTCTGGGCCAACTTCAGGAACAGCTGCCAAAAAATGGGAGAGAGAAGGAAGGTGGAAAAGAGCCTGGGTGCATCATCAATGGCACTGCAGCCCCACTGTGAACACCACCAGTCACCCTACCTCACCCCAAAACCCAGAGCTGCAAGAAGAGCTGTGGGGCAGAAGAGCTGCAAGAGAAGACAACCCTTTCCCCCTCTACCCCACAGCCACCCACATCCTGTACCTTCTCCTGCTGCTTCTGCGTGACCAGGTTGGCGTTGCGRTGCACAGCCTGCTCCGCCTCATCCTTGTCCCGGCAGCGCTGCTCGTACAGACGCTTGGCCTAGGACAGACACACCTCAGGGACAGACCTTGGGCAGAACCTGAACCCTRCAGGTTGGGGARAGCCTCACACAGCRGGCTGCTCTTGGAYTGGGGTGAAAAGCTCATGGCAATCAAGTCATGAGCATGTTCAGAGAAGGGCTGGGGAAGGGTCTGGAGCYCCAGGAGCGGCTGAGGGAGCTGGGAAAGGGGCTCAGCCTGGAGCAAAGGAGGCTCCGGGGGGACCTTGTGGCTCTGCACAACTCCCTGACARGAGGGGGCAGCCGGGGGGGTCAGGCTCTGCTCCAGGGAACAGGGACAGGAGGAGAAGAATGGCCTCAAGTTGCATCAGAGAAGATTTAAATTGGATATTCAGAAAAAAATCACAGAAAGGGTTTTCATGCCTCGGAACAGGCCAGCCAGGGCAGTGGTGCAGTCACCACCCATGGTAGTGCTCAAAAAAGGCGTGGGAGATGGTTCTTGGGGAGATTGGTTAGTGGTGGGTTTGGCAGTGCTCGGCAAATAGGTGGATTCAAGGATCTTAGAGGGCTTTTCCAACCTGAACAATTCTCTGATTATAAATAATTTGTATCCAGCCCTGCAAGGCTACCACTGGCTGTGTCCTTGGCATGCTCTTCACTGTTTCTGAGCGCTCCCTGCCTACCACTCACACAGCATCGAGAGTCACAGCAGAAGAGGAAACGCCTCTCATTTAAGCCTCTCCCTGCACTGTGTGTGTGTGTGAGAGAGCAGTGATAACCCACATGGCAAGAAACCACAGCACATTTGCTTTACCTCCATGGTCTTCTTGTACTGCAGATTCCTGTTTTTGTGAATCGCCTCCATGATCAGCTCTATCTGTGAAGACAACAGACCTGGGGTCAGCACACCACTGACCATCAAGGCTCCAGGACACACTGCATGGCTTAGGAGAGGAAGAGCCACAGACCAGACTGAAATGTGTTTAAGGACCTCCACCCACCCAAACATCTTCATAAAACTCATATTTAATGCTTCTGCCTAAGCCTTGAATTGTGTATGCAAAGGAGTTCTACAACTTAATCCTAGCAATATGTAGAGTTGTAGCATCGCCATAGACTCACTCCCCTCTGCTAGGTCCAAACCAGTCCCTGGTTCTAGCAGTTTTCCCTGGCTCTAGCAGTTTTCCCTGGCTCTAGCAGTTTTCCCTGGTTTTCGAGACAAAGGAATCTCGAGCAAGAAGTTAAAAGGCTTGGCCATTTTATCAATCCTTATGGAGACCATACAGCACTATAAACAAATGCCTTAAAAACATTCCAGTGTTGTGGCTGGCCCCAAAAGCATACAAAGGAGAAGACGTGGAAGTGAGAAGAAGGAAGTTATAGGTTACTACACAGCTGAACAGAGTTGCAACACAGAGGAAGGAGCTCAGGACTTCCCAGCAGCACAGGCACCGGGGACATAGCAGGGGCTGGGGCACGGTGTGAGACAGCAGCRGGATCAGCCCCTTGCCGGGGCAGGATCAACACCCCTGTGGGGAAAGCACGTCTTCCTGCGGTGCCTGACCTTCTTCCGATGCAGCTTTTGCTTTTCCCTGAAGTCCTCCATCTTCTTTGCTTCCTCMCGAAGGGTTTGCGCCAGCTGGATGTGACCTTGTCCCACATTGTCTATTTCTGCAAAGAAAAAAATTAATTATATATAYGTATATATTCCTAAAGAGACTGTGWTTCTCAAGTCCACTTACAAMACATCACATATTCMYTTTCATAAACAGAGAAAAGCAACAGCTTGTTTGAAGTGGCCTCTGAGCAGTGCTTGCCAAGGTAAGGATCAGTCCTGCTGGGACCTGCCCCCAGTTTGAGAAAATTCCAGCCAAGAGGAGTTACTCGAACAAGCACAGTCACATYGCCCCCTCATGTGCGTAAATCTAGGTGTGTTTCAACACACTGCGCTGCCCCAGCCCAGCAGGCAACTACTTGGAGCACAGAAAAACGAAGGCTGAAACAATCTCAAGCTGGTCCTGCTGAAGGCGAGCATCCACACTGAGAAATGCCAACCCAGCAAGCTCACCAAGGGAGCAGAGCCAAATGGCAGCTCATGATTCAGCCCCCAAAGCTGCTCCAAACTCAGAGCAGTGAACAGTCAGCAGTGCTGAGGGCAGAGCTGTGTTAGGGATGTCCATAGGGGCAGCAGAGAAACCTGAACTGGGCAGGGGGCAGACTGGGCACAAGACAGCAGAGCGCTCACCCTCCAGGAGCTGTCTGAGGGTGCTCTGGCAGGATGTGACACATGAAACTGTATGGTGGCCAAAGCACCATCTTTTAGATGCTCCAACTGCAGTCACAGAATCATTTGGATTGGAAAAGWCCTCTTAAGATCCTCAAGTCCAGYCATTGCCCAGCACTGCCYRGCCCAYCACTGACCCATGYCCCCAAGTGCCACAWCCACATGGCTTTGAAACCMCTCCAGGAATGGGGACYCCACCACTGCCCTGGGTTGGACAACCCTTTYCATGAAGGAATGTTCCCCAATATCCAACCGAGACGTCCCCCAGCCCAGCCTGAGGCCRTTYCCTCTCCTCCTGTCCCTGTTCCCTGGAGCAGAGCCCGACCCCCCCGGCTGTCCCCTCCTGTCAGGGAGTTGTGCAGAGCCACAAGGTCCCCCCRGAGCCTCCTTTGCTCCAGGCTGAGCCCCTTTCCCAGCTCCCTCAGCCGCTCCTGGGGCTCCAGACCCTTCCCCAGYTCCGTTCCCTGCCCTGGACACACTCCAGCCCCTCAATGTCCTTCTTGCTGTGAGGGGCCCAGAGCTGTCCCCATATTTGAGGTATGAGTTACTGTGTGTGTGGACAGCCTGCCCAACAAACTCGAGATGAGCTTCCATGCACAGCTTCCTATATACAACATGAGCATGACCTCTGAGCTGCAGACAGACCTGAAAACCCAAGAGATCCCCAAAAAGATGCCCTGTGGGTCCCCTGGCCCACCCATGCCCTGATGCACTTTGTCCCAAACCCCACTCAATGGGATGAGCCAGGCCAGTAGTACAGCCTATGCCTGGCTCAGCACTGCACAGTTTCAGAGGATTTTGTGCTATTTTCTTCCCAAGCAGTTGCTTTGTCACTGCCTGACAAACTTGAAGAATTACTTACGTTGCTTGAAAACATCGAGGGAYTTCTTCAGCGTGCTGAAAAACATAGGCAGGGCATTAAAAAGGGTGGGAAAGCATGGCCAGGCACAGGCATCAGCAGAGCACCTCTCCCAAAACAGAGCTCACTCAACAATGGCCAAAGTAGCTCAAATCACATTTATTTACTCCCTTAGCACCTCCAGGTTTTTCCCCTCTCAGCAGGTATTACACAGTTCACTTGGTTTGAGACCTACTTTACACCTTTCTGAACACTGGGTGTTATTAAAAATTCAAAGTTTCATGACAAATGTTTCAGGCAACCTCCTAAAAGCATCATTTAGAACAGATGAACTATTTTGATGTGGTATGTTTGCCAGTGGTTGGAAACGTAGGGAGCTTTCCTCCCTCTTAATGTTGCACAGTAAAGATTTCAGAAACATTTTATGTGACACCTCAATACGAAACTGTAAGTAAAGGACACGGGAATGTCAGGCTGGACATGTATAAAGCTGAGAAACAAAGCAGGAAGCAGAAAGTGYTGCAGGTCACTTGGGAAATGAAGCAAACCACATGCTGGGCTCTGAAGATTTGCATGGTTTGAATAAAGGAAGTACCTGTACTTCCGTCTGGCCACAAAACCTGTCTGGAATTAACCCAAGGTCTCGTGATCCTCAGCTTTCTGCTGACCCATCAGCCCACACCTTCCCCGAGCATCTGCGGTCTTTTGATTAATGTGTGGCTGGTGGGAACTTGGTGAACCCAAAAGCAAATCAGAGCCCAGTTGGGCAGTGCTCATTAATGCAAATGTTTTCAGCTCATCTCTGAGCCTCCCAATCACATTTCAACTATCCTGTCTCTCACAGCTTCCTTCCTTCTCTTCTGCCTTCATCACTCCAAGGACACCGATAAAAGCAGAAGAAACACAGGACTGTGAACTTACTTCAGCTCCGTCTGCCCACAGGGCTTCTTCTTCGACAARTTAATGAGTTCCTTGCCATATTTTTCTTCTATAATTGCCCTGTGAAGAAAAGAGAGAAATCATAAAGTCACAAACCATCGATGGGTTTGGGCTGGAAGGCACCTCAAAGCCCATCCCATTCCACTCCTGCCACGGGCAGGGACACTTCCCACTGTCCCAGGCTGCTCCCAGCCCCAATGTCCAGCCTGGCCTTGGACACTGCCAGGGATCCAGGGGCAGCCACAGCTGCTCTGGGCACCCTGTGCCAGGRCCTCCCCACCCTCCCAGCCAGCAATTCCTTCCCAATATCCCATCCATCCCTGCCCTCTSCCAATGTGTGGCAGTAAGTTCTCTCTGGAGCTGGCACTGATCCCTACTCAGAGCACATGAAGAGACCAAATYTTGTGAGGTAACATAAATAACACCTTTGAGAGACCATGTTCTCCTCCCTCTTGGAAGAAAGAAAAGAGGAAAGGGGAGCCCATGTGTTGCAGTAGAAAAACCAGTTCTTTGCAGCTGTTTTAAAATCACTACAGACAGCCAGGGCTGGACTTGCTTGGTCAAATGTATTTATCTCCATGAGGCAGCCCTAGCTGTCTGTGCCTAGTGGAAAGAAACAACTACTGCTGGAGGCTGCATTGGAATGTCTACTGGATAAAACAAATAACTTTCTAAAAGACCTTTACTCCTAACACAGATGCAGACCACTRTGTGATTGTTTTCTGGAGTTTGGCAGTGGCATTGATCTTACTTAACTCTTTAAAAAAACTCCAGAAGCTGGTARGGAAACATAAAAAAATAAATATTATAAATTTATTTTTTCCCGCTATCTAACAACATTCTATGAACTTTGTTTGAGACAAAAAATCCAGCAGGCACATTCTCCATAGCTGGAACTGCGTAACAGCCATGCTGGAGAACTGGGACAAGTCCTGAGAGCAGCAAATCCAGATCCAGCCTCTGATCTACCCCTGGCTAGACACATCAGTGGCTACTACACCTCCTTTAAGTCTGAAGAGGGCACAGGGTGTGGAGGAGGCTTTGGGCACTCTCTGATTTGCCATGGATGAGTGAGGCATGGTTCTCAGCATCCACTTCCTCAGCTGGAAGGCCCAGGTTTTCCTGGAACACRGGATTATAGCCCAAACAGATGTAGGTGCATTAGACACTTTCAAGTGCAGTTCTGCCCCTGTTCCTCCCCATTATGTTTGCTCCAGGCTGCTCTGTACTGAGTCATGCAGTCAGGGTTTGGGTTTTCTCCAGCTGTCAGTACCAAAATGAAATTATTCAGGGCTGTCTACAGTGCCCTTCATGTTTAGCTATTGCTAACCAGGTGAACCATAAAGGCAAAACAAATGGCCAGATTATYTCAGCTGCTTTTGTAGCCACAGAACCTCTGCTTGGGTAACTTCCTCCAATTAATAACCACACTACCTAACCCTGCTACTGGTTGACACTGAATCTATGGGATGTTCATAATGTATAAAGTCATGGACAAAGGCCATGTCTCCCCTAGGCCAAGACCTTCTACCCTGATCTTCTGTGAGGTGAGCAGCAAGGTGAACTTCATGAGACAGCATTTCAGTGTAGTGGACAGTCAGACATGGCAAAATCAAAGTGGGAATCCCAGGAGTAGGAGCAGTGCCACAGCTCCACTCCTGAGCTCAACCCAACCCATCACAGGAGGCAGCTCCCTACCTTTCCTTCAGAAAGTCCTCAAACTCTTTGCAGTTCTTCCTGCCATCGTTCAGGTGTTGAATGATGCTGTCATAGCCRATTGTGCTGGTCAGATCCGTGCTCTGAAAACACAGAAACAGGAGTCATGTCCTTGTCACTGCAATCCATGGCCACTGTCACCTCCTGAGGCACATGCACAGGCCATGCTTCAGTCAGAGCAAGTGTGCAAGTGCCTCCTTACAAAGTAAGAATGTTTCTTTTAGGGATGGAAAATATTCCAGAATGAATTCTGGCAATTTGAAGGTACATCTGTACCATTCACACTTGCCATAGACTTCTGAAGGGTCCGTGTCTTCTTTCAAATTATTCCTTAAAAACATATATTGCACTGATGCATATTGAAAAAGAAAAAGGAGAAAGAGGAAAAGGAAAAGGAAAAGGAGAAGGAAAAAAGGAAAAGGAAAAGGAAAAGGAAAAGGAAAAGGAAAAGGAAAAGGAAAAGGAAAAGGAAAAGGAAAAGGAAAAGGAAAAGGAAAAGGAAAAGGGGAAAAAATACAAGCAGCGATTACGCAGGCTGACTTACTCTACCCCATTCTTTTCCCATTCCCAAGTCTGGAGTCACATTAACAAAAAAATGGGTTTTTCCCTATGACTGTTGAAGATTTACAACCCTGGGCTAAGGGCAGGGCTCCCAAGAGCTTTGATAACGCAGTGATGCTCAGAGCATGAGTTCTCCCACTCTGGATGGAGCCTGGAGCAGATGCAGGGAGCTGAGCAGAAGGTTCTACCCACTGAATTCTGGAAAAGCACTGGGAGTGTTGAACAGAACTGCACATATGGGAGCAAAAGGTCACAGAACCACAGAATAATTCGGTTTGGAAAAGCTCTAAGAAGCTCTAAGATCAACAAGTTCAACCATTAACTCAGCAACAYCACATTCATTATTAAACTGTGTCCCCAAATGCCACATCCACCTTCAAGGAAAAAACTACAGGGGAAGAGGCTGCAGAAACAGAGCAATGTTAGGGGAAGGTGTGAAACTCAGCAACAGGAAATGAAACCCACAAAAGGTTATCARGAAACCTGAAGAGGAATAGTGGCAGGATGGAGAGATTCAGAWAATGGTTCAAAGTCAGGATGAGAACATGCAGAGATCTGGCGTAAAACTGTAGGCACCAGAAGAGGGGTTTTCTCATGAGTTTATTCCTGGTGCAATAAATGAGGAGGAACAGGGGTGGTATTTGTGATAAAGGAAGGATTTAATTATGGAGAATTCCCTATTCAAATACTTGACAGAAAGCAAGATGTGAAGGGGAGATCTGATGGAGTGGGACTGAGAGGAAATCCATGGGTATCCCAGACCAGCCTTGTTCTGCCTGTGGCATGCATGACAGGACTGTGGAGAAGGACCTAAGCAGAAAATAAATTTCCTTTATGAAGTACTAATGTATCCTGTACAGATACAACGTCCAAAATGGGGTTAGTACTGATGAACCCACAGGCAGCTCTCAGGTTGCTCTAATCAGTTGCTCTGCTCAGTTGCTCTAATCCTCACTAATCAGTTCTGTGAAAAGGAAACACCGCACTGGAGTCACTCTTCATCACATTTGCAAAACACAGGAACAGCCCAACTTGAGTTGCTACCCCCAGGTTCAAGGAAACAAAGTGGATGCAGAGCAGAACTGCTGGTCATTGCAATCCCTCCAGGAGAGAGGGTCACACCCCATCATGTCCAGGGCCACCCAAAGGGTCCTGCATCCTGCTCTGCTGCCTGGGACCCTGGGGCTCTGTGTGCCAGGAAGGGTCAAGGGGAAAACTCAGAGTAACCATCAATAATGTGCATTAAACTCCTTGTTTYATCACTCTTCCTCTTCCTGTAAAAGGATTTAATTCCAGCACGTGTGTATTTCCTAAGCCCAAGGCTGGACTAGACCTCAGGTGCAAGGTGTTACATGAAATCTAAAACCATAAAAACATTTAGGTTGGAAAAGCCCTCTAATATGATCAAGTCCCAACATTGCCCAGCACTGCCCAGCCCACCACTAATCCATGTTTCCAAGTGCCACATCCACATGGCTTTTAAATCCCTCTGTGGGAGCTTTCCATGGGAGGAACTCCAGACCCAGACAGAGCTGGGCAGGGCTGCAAGGTGTGAAATCAGCTTTTTCAGCACTATTCTGAGCAGGTTTGGCACAGAAAGAGGCAAAAGAACCAGCATGACTGTGGTTGTACAGCCTGGAGAAGAGAAGGCTCCAGGGAGAGCTCAGAGCCCCTTTTGGGGCCTAAAGGGGCTCCAGGAGAGCTGGACAGGGACTGGGGACAAGGGCTGCAGGGACAGG